TACAGGCGCACGCCACCATGCCCAGCTAATTTTTTGTATTTTTAGTAGAGACGGGGTGTCACCATGTTGACCAGGATGGTCTCGATCTCTTGACCTCGTGATCCACCTGCCTTGGCCTCCCAAAGTGCTGGGATTACAGACTTGAGCCACCGCGCCCGGCAGTTCTCTGCTCTTTAAAAAAATAAAATTAAATTAAGAGACAGAGCCCTGCTCTATTGCCAAGGCTAGAGCAAAGTGACATGATCATACTCACTGCAGCCTTGAACTCCTGGGATCAAGCAATCCTTCCACCTCAGCTTCCCAAGCTGGGACTACAGGTGCACACCACCCTGCCTGACCTTCTGCTTCTTATTTTTTCTTTTTTCTTTTTTCTTTTTTATCCCCCTCCACCTAGCTTTTTTTTTCCTTTTTTCTTTTTCTGCTTCTTATTTCATTTTATTTAGAGACGGGGTCTTGCTCTGTCACCCAGACTGGAGTACAGCAGCAGGATCTAGGCTCACTGCAGCCTCAGCTCCTCCTGGGCTCAAGTGATCCTCCCATCTCAGCCTCCCAAGCAGCTGGGCCCACACATGCCACCATGCCCAGCTTTTTCTTTTTCTTTTTTTTTTTGGTAGAGATAGGATCTCCCTCTATTGCCCAGGCTGGTCTAGAACTCCTGGGCTCAAGCAATCCGTCCACCTCAGTGGGATTACAGGCATGAATTACCTCGCCCGGCCTCTTTACGCTCATGAATACACCTCCGTCGAACCTTATATTTTGCCTCACGCAGAGTAGGTGTTCAATAAACACTGAATACCTGAAAGGGTGCCCCTTGTCCCAGTCTCTGTGAGGATGGTTGGAACGTCAGAGGCCACTAGGTGGAACCAAATGTCCACTGATGGAACTTAAGGGCCTGGCCTCAGACGTTCACCCCATCTGACCCTAACCAATCGCACGCTGCCCACGTCCTGCCCATAGACGTTCTGTGGCTGTCTGAGGAGGCCATCTGAAAAGAGATGACATGGGACAGGGTGGGTCCCCAGGGCTGGGACTAAAGGGAGGAGGGACGTGCCTACTCTTCCCCTCCAGCCCTCTGGAGGGTGCCCATCATGGGTCCCCCGAAAGTCCTTTTCTCCAACCTCTAGTTCTTTCTACCTCAGGAAGACTCCTCTCTCTGGACCAAGCTGGAGGCATGTCCCCTACTCAGAAGCCTGCCAGGCAGAGGTGGAAGACTTTCCTAGTCCTTGGGAGTGTCTCTCCATGATCCCAGGAATTCCCCATTTCTCTCCCTGGGAGTTTCCCCAGTGCTGGCTACAGAAAAGGTACTTAGTTGGGAGAGGGTGGGAGGGAGGCACTGAGGTGGCAGTGAGGTCATCTGGACTGGTGTGGAAGCGCCCCCCATGAGAAAAATATGAGCGAATGTTGTACTGAGCAGATTCCATGCGCCATGCGTTCTCCAGCCAAGAGCACACTCTGGAATCAGAGAGCCTGGATTTAACCCCTGGCTCTGCCATTTACTAGCTGTGTATGTGACTTTGGTCAAGTATGTAACCTCTGTCCCTCGGTTGCCTCATCTGTAATGTGAAGATAGCAACAGGCTTTTTGTGAAGATTAAGATTAAATGCTGGGCGAGGTGACTCTCCCCTGTAATCCCAGCACTTTGGGAGGCCGAGGCAGGAAGCTCACTTGAGCTCAGGAGTTCAAGACCAGCCTGGGCAACATGGCAAGACCCTGTGTCTACAAAAAAAAAAAAAATACAAAAATTAACTGCGCACGGCTGGTGCATGGCTATCATCCCATCAACTCAGGAAACTGAGGCGGGAGGATCACTTGAGCCCAGGAAATCAAGGCTGCAGTGAACCATGATTGTGGCATTGCACACCCGCTTGGGCAACAAAGCAAGACCCTGCCTCAAAATAAATAAGTAAGATTAAATGATGCCAGGCGTGGTGACATACACCTGTAGTCCCTACTAGAGAGGCTGAGGCAGGAGGATCCTTTAAGGCCAGTAGTTTGAGTTAGTGTGCTGTGATCTCGCCTGTGAATAGCCACTGCACTCCAGCCTTGCAATAGCAAGACACCAACTTAAAAAAAGATTAAATGAGTTCATCTATGTAAGTCATTAGAATAATATCTGGCACATGATAAGCACTGTATACATGTTAGCTACTGGCTGGAATTCATTTGTTTGATTCTCACAGAAACCTTATAAGGTAGGGTACTATTTTTTTCTTTTCTTTTCTTTTTTTTTTTTTTTTTT